ATAAAGCCTAGACTTGCACATTTTTTCACATTCTGGCTAAAACCTTCTTTTTCTATTCCTTTCCACAAAGTTTAGAATAGAGCCTCTTTTAATTTTTTGCCATTCCTAACATTCCCCTGAGTCATCCCTCTTAGGACAGCTCTCAAGACTGCCCTGCTCTTCCCAATCTACCCCTCCCCACCCACCTTCTGCTCACAGAACTACCCCTCTCTCACAAACCCTGGCTGAGCTTTTTCTTCCTTCCCCAGGCATTCTCTTACTTCCCTTCCCCTTCTTCTCTGGCTCAAGCACATTTCCCATTCATAGAGTTCAAATGACCCAGTTGGAATGAGAGATGGACAAAAATAGAAAGTACAGAGACAGACCCATACTTATGTAGAAATCAGATGTACAATAGAACGTGTCCTGCAAATCAGTAGAGAGACAAGGTGCTGTTTTTAAAATGGAGCCAGAACAACTGGTCATCAATAAAAGGAAAAGAATGGACCCTTACTTCATATCATACTCAAAAATAAATTCTACATGAGGCAAATCAAAGCATGAAGACTTTCAGGAGGAAAAAAACTGGAGACCATGTGCACATAGTAAAACAGATAAATTTGACAATTATAAATGTCTTTTTATTAAAAGACTAGAGGCCCAGTGCAGGGATTCATGCACAGGTGGGGTCCCTCAGCATGTTGTGCGCCCTCTTGCAATCCAGGACCCCTCGGGGGATGTAGCAGTTTGCCAAGCAGGCAGGTGGCCAGGGAGGAGCCTGAGCCAGGCAGGGTACCACACCACTCCTGCTCATCCCGACCCCACTGTGCCCCTGTAGCTCTGCAGCTACAGGGAGAGGTGGGAGAGGTTCGTGCTGCCTCAGCTGCACTTGTCAGCTGTGAGCCCAGTGGCAGTCCTGCTGTGCGAGTGCACTGACCACCAGTGGGCAGCTCCTGCTTTGAGCATCTGCCCCCTGGTGGTCAGTGTGCATCATAGAGACTGGTTTCAGTAGACCTGTCATGATGGTCACTTAAGCTTTGATAGATAGATAGATAGATAGATAGATAGATAGATAGATAGATAGATAACATAAAAAGAATAGAATGTTGAGCCATATATTGAGAGAACTGTCCAAGAATTTGTATCCAGAATATGACAACGTTTTTCAAATGAATAAAACAAGAAAACATATTCCGTTTTATTAGAATTTGGCAAAAGGTGTTACCATTTTGCATACCACAAATTGGAAAAATTAATGTGTGTGTGGTTTTGTTGCACTGAAAGGTTTTTCTTTGACAATTTTGTCCACCATACTGCTGAGGACAGAAATTGGCAATATCTTTTATTTTTCATTTTCAGTGCTAAATGTCTACCATTAGCATATAATTAATATTCCATAAATTTATTTAAAATGCATGTAGCTGTTGTAGACTCAGAGCATTCATTCCAAAATCTAAGTCTCTGCATATATCAAGCAAATTTCTGAAACTAGTTTGAGGTATGCATATTTTGAATGGGAGTATCTTTAGATGCTACAAGAAAGGTGCAGTATTATTCCTCATCTGCTTACATGCGCTGGCTTTTTGGTGATCCATTTTTTCATCACCTCTCTTGGGAATACTTTCATGAGTCAACCCCACCACCACCATGAACATAATCTGATGCAGATATCCTACCCGTGTGTTTTTACCATACCTAATATTTACTTTGGCATTTTCCCCACTGTAGTTGTTGTCTGAATATTAACTTGTAAGCAATCTGAGATCAATAGCTATTGCTTGTTTACTTTGGGCCTCTTGTACTTGGCATAGTGTCTAGCCTGTAGCAGGTATCAATTAATGGTTTTCCATGGATGAATGCATAATTCCTTTTAGGATATACATTTTTGCCCCAAATGTGTTTTTATTTTCAATCTTCAGGCCTTTCTCTTTTGTCAGCTCTCTTAGTAAACACCTAACCATTTCTTTCTTGAGTCAGTAATTTAAATTGCATGCTCTTCACAAACCAGTTTCTGTCAGAGTTTAAATTGCTTCCATTAGCCCCAGAAAAAGACCTTTAATACACAAATATTTCAAGACTCAAAACAACTTCACTGTTTTTGAAATGTGAAATTTCAGTACCAAATGAAAGACAGGGTAACTAGAAACATTAACAGTCTTATTCTAATTAGTAATTAATTAATTTGCTATTTTATACTGTATTGAAGAATTATGGTTATTTTGTAATCATCCTTGACTTCATTTTCATTCAAAGCTTAAATCTTGAAGGAATCATTAAAATATCTCTTTAATTTCTTTCCAAGTTATAAACATCATAACTCACATTCAGAAGTTCACTTTGATTATTACATTAAATTCCACAAGATTGTTACCTCTCTGAAACTTCTAATACAGTGATGTACTGCTTTCAGTTAGAACTGAATACTTTACTCATTTTCCCTCAACTTACCTAAGTATTTGGTAAAATATACTTATTAAGCAAACACTATGTACTAAGCTAATAACTTGGGTATAGGCAAAGGTGAAACAGATTGCTACCAAGATGAATTAGATATGACTTCTACCTTCAAAGACCTCATCATCTAGAAAATAAGAAATAGGTTATATATAGAGAGATGTGCTTCTGTATCACATATATAAATATTAATAATGCCTAATAGTTATCAACTCTTACTATGTGCCAATCAGTTTTACATGTTCACAAGTAATTCATTTCATCAAATCAAGGCCATTGATTATAAGACATCATTATTATAGTAGCATTATGAAACACTCCTTAAAAATTGGAACTTGCTCTTGATTCTAATATGCCTCCCAAATATCAAAGATGTTAATATGTAAAAAAATGCAAAACTTAGAATTGATGAATAATAGTAACTCATTTAAGTTAGGTAATGTTATTGTCCTCATTTTACAGAGGGGGAAATTGATAGGGTTCAGAGATGTTAAGCAACTTTCCCAAGACCATACAGCTAGTAAGTAGATGAGTGGGGATTGAACCCACATCAGTCTGATTACAAACACCATGCTCTTAGCCTCCATACCAGAGAAGTCTTGGATTCTCTGTATAATAGAGTATTGAAAATTTTTCATATATTTTCTTCCTAACATGGTTACATTTAAAGTTAGAGAAGAATACAGGAATATATATATATATATAATATTTTTTAATTTATGGGAAAAATTGAGAATTTAGTTGAGATGATGGGACTTAAATTTCAAAAACAGAAAAAAAGTCTTTCTGTTTTGAAATTTAGTTGTCTAAATTTGGCATAAAATGGTTATAATAAGCTATTAACTAAAGAATAGTTAGTACACTTGACCAACAACAGTCATGAGGCAGTTGATTTTTAAAAATCTATGAATTTATAACCTTAAATCTATGAATTTATACTATTACATTGCATATAGATGTAATAATCCTTGCAGGATAATATAAACTGGACAAAAATTTAGTTAACTTTTACCATGAGTGTAGACATTTATTTTTCTATTTTTAAAGGAAAATTGGCTGTTAGTAGGAACTATCAAACTTACATTTTTAACTGTTATTAAGAAATAGCAGCAACGTTTCTGTACAGCATATTGAAATTCTAGCACTACATGAAGTACTGCAAATAATCTATGTAAGGAGCTACAAGTGACTAACCAAAAGCAAGAAAATATATATTTCATCTTAAGTATCAACCAGTACAATCTATTTTTTAAAAGAACTTATGAGTTAAGAAATAATAACTATGGCTTACATCATTTCTGCCTATAAATAATGAATTACATGTAAGAACAAGTGGTAGTTAAATGTACTCTGGGCCAATTGCATCGTCATGGATACCAAAGACTTCATCTGTGGAAATTTAGCAAAACATAATTAGAAATGTCAAACAGAAAGGATCTCATTAAGATAATTCTTCCAGAAAAGAATAAAAATTCTGTCCCAGCTGTTCATATCTTGAGTAATCAAGATAAGATGGACATAGCTAAAAAATCTTGTTTCCTAAAATATGGTACTGTAAACGCACACATCAGAATAACCAGATCACTAGAGTTCTTGTTTAAAATACAAGATGTTGATGCCCACCGGGTGTGGATCAGTAGTTGAGTGTCGACCTGTGAACCAGGAGGTCGAAGTTCTGTTTCCGGTCAGGGCACATGCCACATGCCCAGGTTGCGGGCTCAAACCCCGTGTGGGGCATGTAGGAAGCAGCCAATCAATGATTCTCTCTCATCATTGATGTTTCTATCTCTTTCTCCCTCTCCCTTCCTTTCTGAAATAAATAAATATATTTTTAAATACAGATGTTGACTTCTATCCCAGACCCACTATATCAGTATGTCTTTGGGTAGAGCGCAACAATCACATTTTAAACAGGCACCTCCACCCACCAGTGATTATAAGCACACTGGATTTGAGAACCGTTGCTTTCACTTTACATATTTCCCCACCTAGTACTTTAGACTGATGGCAGAAATTAACCAATCACTAGTTTTCACTAAGTATCAGAGGTTATATGTTTCATTTATTAGATATTTATGAGCAGTGTAGGGGGAAACAAAAGAAATGTGAGCTCATGTACTCAAATATATATCAATTTTTGCATGTCATATAATCAATTCTTCAAAATGATTACATTGAAGTGCTACTTTCTGAAATCTAACATAGTGACAGGAAAAGAGAATTGAGGTAATCTTATAACTGAGGGAATAGAAAAGAAGGGACAACTCCAGGAATTATTTCAAAGAAGAAAGTCTATAGGATCAGTGGCAAATTGGACATTAATGGCAAACAGAAGGAGGAAAAGTAGAATACTTTGGGTTTTGAATCTAAGCGGCAGAGAAGAGTGAGGTACTAACATGGGGATGGAAAACATTCTGAAAACAATAGAGAATTTTGGGGTGGAAGAAAGTGAGAGTGGTGTAGCTGGCCCTTTCACTACCACATTTATAAAGATGAATTTTGTTACTGAGTTTACATATGAATGGATTTAACCAAATTGAATTCTAATTAATCATTATTTTTTACAGCAATTGTTCAACTGTCAAGCTCTACGAAAACTAAGTATTCCTGACAATGACCTTTCAAGTCTGCCAACCACCATTGCTAGTTTAGTTAACCTTAAAGAACTCGACATCAGTAAAAATGGTAAGATTTCATCTCATCTCTAAATAATTTTTACTGAAAATATGTTTTAATGTTTTCTCTTAGAAAATGGTATGATACTTTCTTTTATTTTGTTGCAACTCTAAGTTAACTTTATTGAAAAGTTAAATCTTACTTTATCAGTTAATGACAGAAAACCTCTCTCCCCTTTTCTTACTGGTGTGCCTGATTTCCCTTTGCATTTAGATATATTATTTAATCTATTTTAGAAAATTTTATTGCCTTTATACTGTTTATCTCATTCTCAGTATGTGGTGAAGGACCAGGGGTATTTTCTATAAAAATAAAATAATAAGTCCTTTCTTTCAGACATCATAATGGACTAGAGATATACTTGATGTTAAACATAGTGCTTATAGCCCTAATCGGTTTGGCTCAGTGGATAGAGCGTTGGCCTGTGGACTGAAGGGTCCCAGGTTCGATTCCGGTCAAGGGCATGTACCTTGGTTGTGGGCACATCCCCAGTAGGGGGTGTGCAGGAGGCAGCTGATCAATGTTTGTCTCTCATTGATGTTTCTAACTCTCTATCTCTCTCTCTCTTCCTCTCTGTAAAAAATCAATAAAACATATAAAAAACCCCACAATGCTTATAATTGACAATATGTTACATTTTTGTTAAAAATGTAACTTCTGTTAAGTGTTCACACACACACACACACACACACACACACACACACACTCACACACTCACCAACAAGGGGACACAGGAAACTCTGGGAAATGTTGGATGTGTCTATTAACTTGATTGTAGTGATGGGATCACTGGAGTTTGCATATATCCAGAACTCATCAAATTGCACATATTAAATATGTGCAGTTTTTTGTGTATTAATTATACCTTAATGGAGCTGTTTTAAAAAAAGAAAAAATTAATTTAAGCACCCTAAAAAAAATAAAAGTTGGATAAGATTGGCTTGATTCTAGGTAAATAGGGACCTTAATTTAATCTGTTAAGGACACTAGGAAAATTTCTTGATCACATTAACTATGGCATTTCTAAGAATTCCTGGACTGTCCTGTTTAAGATCTTTCCCTTGTTACTCCCTAGAAGCAAACCCTATTTCTTTCTACCTCTATTTTCTTAATAATATTTATGAGAGAAACTGATATACTATATATTTACATCATTTATGTATTGTCTGGATTCCTCTTACTAGAATTAAAATTCAATGATGTGTAAATATGTCTCTCTTCTCCGCGTCCAGTGTGGCTAGAGAGCGGTCCGGTTCTTGAGTAGGAGAGGCTGGGGATTGAGAAAAATGAAAGAAAGAGACAGACACAGAGATGGAAGGAAAAAGCTGGAACCGGGTGGGACCACTGTCCTCTGACCGGGATCAGGACAAAGACAGTGACTCTGAGCCAATACAGCATATGTATTTTATACAGAAAAAAAAAACAAAAAAAAAAAACAGGAAGTTTTACTAAAAGTCAAGACCAAGGAGATTATGTGCATTCTTGGGTGGGCCTGAGTTGTA